TAGTGCGGAAAATGCAGTACTTATTAATATATTCAAGTGCAAGCAGTTGACTTCAAAGGTCACCTAAAATAATGAATAATTTAAAAAAAAAAAAGCTAGCATGCAGAAGCTTAAGGTTGCTTATAATGACTCTGAGAATTCTACTCAAGAAACCCAGGTTCAGCAGTGCAAGTGAGATGTTTTGTAATGCACATGTCAGAACGTTTCAGGCACTCATGAGGAATTTGATTTACAAGTTTATGCATCGTTTGTGCAGTTCATTGAACAGTCTTATTGTAATGTTTCCACATCCCTGTGTCAGTGCGCTAAGATTTCCGGCTCTGTGGAATCCTTGGTATGTAAACCTTTTATAAGATTTTTATTTTATGTGTGTGTTATTATGTGTTATGTCTTTGTGGACCACGGGTTTGTTGAATAAAGCTTTTCTCTCTCTGATACTTAATATATTCAAGTGCAACCAGTTGACTTCAAAGGTCACCTAAAATAATGTATAATTTTTTTAAAAATCAATAAAATTCATCTTGATTCTCAGTTAAGTTCACAGTTAAGGTTACAAAAAGCATCATGAAGAAAAAATTGGTAAAGTTTGAAGCAGAGTTAAGTCGTAAGACAAAATCCCAAACTTGAGACAAATCATGGAGCACGTCTCGTCTGTCAGCTTAAAGATATCAAAGCTATGGAGGGAGTCTGAGGTTGTGTATTTACTTCTCTTGCCTGTAGAGCACTGACCCTGTTCTGCAGAGCGGGTCAGCCTAATATACTGTAAAACATTTGGGCCACATTTAGTTGCGTCTACTAACTTCTACATTCAAAACTGGTCTAGTTCTTAATTTTTAAAAAAATCTAAAACTATATAAATTTAGTTATAGATTTTTAACCTAAATGTGTGTTTGTGAAAGATAAACTTACAGCAGTAAGTCTGTTAGCATTTTATTAATTTTGTCAAACCCGAGAGAGTTGAATAAACTACAGTTTATATATTAGCACTAAAAACACTAAAAGAAAATAAAACACAGGAATGCGAATTATTTCCCAGAATGCTTAGAGGCATATTTTTGTATCCTGAGATGGACGTGTGTTACATTGATCTGACTCTGATGTATTATTTTGCCAAATGTTCATTTAAAAAAGTTATTCTCTGCTAAAAGTTTTTGAGCAGAATTTATTGTGATCTTTATTAAACTCATTAGCAAATCATAACTTTTGTTCTAATCAAGTTGAAACAAGAATTTTAATTATTTTAGTATAAAAATACGTGGTTACTTTAATTTGATAAGGTGAGTGAAATAATACAGAAATATGTGTTCTTTAATTAGGTGAAGACCGTTTTTTTCTTGCATATTGTGAAATGATCATTTGGTTTAAATTCCAGTATTAAGTTGAAACTCACAGTTCAAGGTTAATACGCAAACAGAACTTAAAAAACAATGTTTAAACAACTTGTCTCTTGTTGTTGAATCAACTTTTTGAAATTTAATTTCTGAGTTAAAAGAAATACATTTTTCTTATTGTTTTTAATTGCATTTTAAAGCAGCAGATGGACTTTCACTTTTAAGTCACCTTCAAATATTTTAGTGTGTGAAGAATTATCCTTTCTCCAGGCTCAATTCTTGATGTATGAGGTTGAAGAAGAGTCAGTGAGTTGAATTAATGAATTCCATTTACTTGTAAAATTCGGCTCCCATTTAAAGCGGAACTCACAAATACACACAAGGGGGATTACGTCACAGACATCAGGCAAAATATGTTACACCAGTTAAATGAAAGGTAAATAAATAGCCAAACACTCAAATATGAAATTATGTCGACCTTTTGCAACGATTTATTACAAAAAACACGAACTAAGAAAATAATAATAGTTATCCTGATAAATAAATCAGTAACCAAAACTCTCTCAAAATAAGTTTAGGATAGGTTTAATCCACTTAGTTCATGTTAGTAAAGAAACCCAAATGGTTAAATGTCCAAATATTCTTGATCCTTTTTAATACGAATATTGTCCACAAACGAGTTCCATAACATGGGAGAATTTCTCCTTTTTAATCCAAAGTCTCAATCCAAAACGAAAAATCCCAAGCGTCAAAAACCTTCCCCCCAAAAACTGAGAAAAAGGAGTGGTACCACCAAAAATC